AGCTGGGATTGATTGGATCTAATTCTCTGTGTTCCTTGTTTATCAAATATGTCGGAGAAGCATCTTGTTTGTCCACTTTACATCCCTAGCTGTCACAGATAATAGGGATTCTTCCTCAATTCTTAGATTTTCTACAGAAACACTTAGGACGGGGCAAAGTTCCGTTAACGGAGGTTTAAGAAAATTAACGGAAGAGTCGATTAATGAACGGCAAAAACCGTTAATTTTTAAACTATTAACAAAATGAATTAGCCGTTTTTGAAAAAAAATTAACGATTGAAAACGAAAACGGAATGGATTTTTTAAGGGGAATTTTGTTTTTTTTCTGCTTATAATTACATTTTTTACGTGTTTTGATGTTTAAAGGTTGTCTTCTGTGTTCACATCCCTAAATACTGAGAAAAGATCGCGGTACCTTTGAATTTTGATAAAACAAAAATTAGAGGTTGTCGAGGCATGAAAGAATCTGGGTTTTCCTCAGAATAGGCTAAATATAGTTGATTTGTATATCTAGATACTTTTGCTCAGTTACCAGAAAAGGATAAACATAATTCAACTGCTAGTGCCGTTAACGATTTGACAACCCCTTAACGCCGTTAAAACTACAAAAGACCATTAACGGCTGCACCTTTAATGATTTTGTAACCGTTAACGATTTTTTTGGCGCTTTGTGATGTTAATACTGAATTAAAGCATTAACGGCTGTGGCATTAACTTAATTTCTTTAACCTTTAACGAATTTTAGTTTTTATAATGTAAAAGACTATTTTTTACTTCTCCTACAACATTGTCATCTAATTTTATTTACATTGTCATCTAACTTTATAGACATTGTCATCTAATTTTATTTACATTGTCATCTAACTTTATAGACATTGTCATCTAATTTTATTAACATTGTTATTTAGTTTTATTTACATTGTCATCTAATTTTATTAACATTGTTATTTAGTTTTATTTACATTGTCATTTAATTTTATTAATCCTGTATTTTATTACAGGTTTGAAATACATCTATTTACTGATTATTTTCGACTACTGCAACTGTTCCCGATTTAAGGAGCTCATCAATAAATCAACAAGTCCGCCAATCAATTAATCAATTGGCAAATTAATCAACTAAACTAATAGTCTATCAATCATCGACCCCGCCTATTGTTTTACAAGTGAAAAAAGTTTTATGTGTAAATTATAAATCACTTAATAAGTGAAATGGGTCTATTAACATTCCACAATTACTGTTGCTCATGGACTATTTAAAGTCATACCTTGAGTCTAACTTGAGACTTCCTATCCCAGAGTTTTCTGGTTATCACTGTTCATAAAATTTACAAACATTTCTTTTAACATCTGGTGTTTATTTTTCATTATATTTAATCTTTTTATTTATGTGTATTATTAGATATGTTGGATGTATAAATATGATGTAACCCAATATAAACATGGATAAAAGGATAAACATAACCTATTGTTCAAGAGGGTGTCTACATAAACAAGAATATAAAAATTAATATTTTACTGAGAATTGTTATTCGTTTGGTTAGAGAAAACCCAACCCATTGTTCATTACTGAGAATTCCTCTTATACTATATTCTAAAAGGGTAATGTAAATCTTAACTGAGTACAGTTTCTGATCTATGACACCCTGTATAAGTGTAACAATCATGATACACCCTGTATAATTGTAAAAATCACAGGGTATTGTAAATTGTAACAATCATGGTGCACACCGTGTAGAATTGATAAGAATACTATTATAAGTTATGTTTTGTACCCTATATTACTCCCCCCCCCCCCCCC